TAAACAAACACACACTTATACTTACTATAAATTCATCCAACATCATTACGCTCAAAATACACCAGCACGACAAATTCACCATAGATATCAATATAATAAATCAAAATACACCTCACCATTCTTTCTTAACTTCACTTATTGTATTAAAGACACTAACCTACAAGGCATCCTCCGCAATTACGAGCCCATCACCCAGATGTATATATTCTGCCCTTAACCAAAATCTTCAACGTAGACGATTCCCGACCACTAATTCTCCCACACGAATTCCTACAGCCAGTTGAAATCCTAATCCTAGAATTCATCCATAACACCTGATACAATCATAAACTTTATAACCTCATTCAAAATACACCCTATGAACTCTCACCTAGCACTGAAGAGCACAACACCATTAAAGCACTCGAATTGCTTTGGTCACTTCTTCAAACTAAATACATCTTTCGTTTGCTAGCTAAATTAATAAGGTCCTCAGAAATCATCCACGACGTTTTTCGCCACGGATTCTTCACAGACTAATAAGTTTCATGAAAAAAAAATTACTAATAACTTCAAATAAAAACTAACCATTCGTTATAGATGTTTTCTTTTTTCTATAGTCTTCCCAAGCACGATCATCAATCATCTACAAAAAAAGAAAAACGAAATAAAACACAGAAAATTTTTTCTAGATTCATAATTTTCTTTTAACCAATTTCAATAAGCAAAGCGGTAAAATTTTACCGTATAAAGCTATAAATTGACAAATAAATTCTTTTCCATATGCAGTAAATATTCTTATAATGAAAATCAATTGATAATTTCAACCCCCCAAATCAAGCAGTAATATTAATAATTTCAAAGTAGTAAATTAATAAACGTTGCATATAAAAATGAAAGCCGTACTAACCTTTTCAAAGACGCTTCTTTATATTCACTCGTCCACAAACTCTATCCATAATCGCACAGCTCGCCCACGAAGAATTGCTTAAAATAATGAATTTAAGTTTTAACTTTCACTGATTACAACTCTAACCAGTTTTAACACATTTCAAACTTTCCTTTAACCCGGTTGGAAAAGAATTATACATAATACCAACGCAAGCTTACTGAATACCACAAACCACAACCTAACAGCATGACTAAGAAAAGAAATCCAACGGTACCCAAATCGGATTAAAACCAGCTTAAAACTGGATAAATTATTCTTTTGAAGACTACTTTTAAGTCTGGACACAAAAAAAACAAAACACCAAAAAGTTGAAAGATCAACCCAAAACAAACAAAATGATTTCTGAGAAAAAGACACAACCAAGCAAAAAAGGAAAAAAAAACCAGTATTAAAAAAGGAGCAAAAGGTTGAACTCAAACAGGACCCTCCAAAAAAGAGAGCATGAAATTATACCCTCACTCCTAGCCTAACCCACTAGAGAGGACGTCCTGAGCATGCTCTTCCGCCGGCCTCACCAACCGTGCTATATCCACGCTTTGTGACCCACAACTATATTTTTGACAAGAGTTAATCAACTGTGAGTATCTCTTGAAAATAACCGAAGTAAACAAAAACGCTTTCGCGATAAAAACATATACAAGATCATAACTAAAAACAAAGCTGACAAATATCTGTATTTGTAAATAACACATTGCCGTATATAGATAACTTACAGCCCAAAGACGAGCAGCAAGGATCTTGACAACCCAATCACACTCCCACTACGGAATGGCAAAACACACCCGACATGCTGCCTACAGTCACTACACTCAACGGATTTAAAGTACGACTTGGCATCGCAGCAAACGAAATCCATTGCAACTGAACATTGGCCATCTCGATGTTCAAGTATACGTACAGATCCAAGTCACCAGGCACTGCATCCAAAGTCAAACTACATGCCACTCCCGAACGTGATTGGACCATTGCTATTCTCAAAGATCAACCAAATCTACACTCAACACAGCCAATCAGAAATAATGATACGATCTCCCAAAACGATCGTGATAACAACTCTTCTTCCAAACCAGAAAAAAGAATATGCTCGCAACTTCTAGAGGAAAAACACCATCATCCATCCTCCACTACAATAGAACACTGAAAAATTAAAACTCTCCAAACCTCTGATGGGTGGAACCAGATCTAAACTAGAATTTATTATTGGATATTATTCTGATATTTCATCTCTATAAAATATTGAATATTAACCAATCATGCTGCATCAAACTAACAAACCACTTATTTGTAAGTGTTGAAACTATTTGTTGTTTCAACACCAGAACAATTTGAATTAAGCTTAGAATACAGTTGTTCTCATTCTGGAACTAACTAGCATAAACCGGTGTACACTAGATCTATTGAGACTAGGAGATATAAGAGTAAGATTAAGATCGGTAGTAGACTAAGAAGTTGCACGAATTTATCCGGCCGAAAATAAGATAGCTTGACGAGCAGACATTGTACCTTATCTGAAATTACTCTATGAGTATAACCAATAGGTCATAACTCATTCCTCTTCGAAAATGGTCACTCTTCGAAAATGGGGGGAAAATGTTGTAGTTTTTAAGAATATGGTCGGAACATTCTGTGCCGTCTGCAAAATAACCAGTTATCCTTGTTTCAACCAATCTCTAGTTGAGCGTTGAAGCCAAGAAATAATGCCCAGCCCAGCTCACAACTATAAAAAAAAGGCAACGTATGACTCATAGAGATTATCCGAAAAGAGTAAATTATCTCATGTATTCGTCCTTTCATTCGTGCGAATCGTCAATTCAGGGACTTGATTAATTAATAAACCAAACTCATAGGACAACAAAAAGATAGCGTTGTTTTCTCAGTTTACTATTTAATATGATTCAGTACTTCGATGAGCGTTGATTTTTAAAAATTAGCTAGGATATAGCTTGTAAAGGTTTCGCAATTTTGGTGTCGTTTCATGAAAACGTTCCATGGCAAGTACGAAAATCAGTTACATGAAATTTGAACATAGTTTTTGCGCTGTCGACAATGTTATGTCCTGCAATCTATTTGCCAAGAGCTGAATTAATAAGATTTCGAGTTTTTGCTTGCGGTAGTTACATGTTCGTTTCAACTTATCTTCTCAGTCACTGTGAGTACATTACAACACCGGCATAAACAAATTGACGTATGGTATGTATGTTTGATATCCAGTTTGTCTTTCTCAAATATGAGTTGAATTTGGCATTTTCAATCAAACGGTTATCAAATTCTGCCACAAATCAACCATATGTTAATACTGATTCTTTGATTGCGTTGAGTTTGATGTGACCATACATTATCAGTTATTTCGAAATGACCAAAATATGACCTTGAAATTAACTGCATGATATCAATTTGCATCGGTTTGTCTCCTGTCTTAAATTTAGCGAGACTGCTCGTATATCAGGGCGAGGCACTGAATGTTCCGACTGGACTTTGAGGCCAAATTAAAAAAATTTTGGTTGAATAATAGACAAAATAATAAAAAAAAGGGTAAAACAATGTTTTTCTTCATTTTATCAAACCCCCCACCCCATATGCTATGTAAGATATAAAGGGCGTGTAAAGCCCCTCTTATTGTTTTAGAAGGACTAAAAGCTGGCCTCTTATGCTGGCAGGACCGCAATAATTCGCCGCGTACGCCTTTTAGTTATCGCGCGTTAATTATCAAAAATAGACCAAATTAACAAATTTGAACCCCCGTAACTTGACTCAAAAGATCAAAGGTTATATATATATATTTTTAAATTTGAGCTCAGGACGACAACATCTTTCACACCGTATAAAAATTCCGTTAAAATTGAATAGTTGAGAAGTCAAAGCTTGACTGAATTAAAAAACCAATCAAACTTAAATATTCCGCACTTTCTTCGAATTTCGGAACAATAAGGTGCAATCTTGAGAAACGAATTTCGGACACGAGACAAATTAAATCCTTTAATTTTTTTTTCAACCGATCGCAGCGAGGTCATTCGGTAAGGTAAACGACTTTTTCTTGCTAGAGTGTCCACTTCCATTGCAGTATTTCTGAAGGATTTGTTCAAAACGGGCAAACCTAGTGATAAACTCAGTGATAAACCTCAATTCAACTTTGCCAAAGGTTTTTTTGTAATAATTCATTTCTGACATGAGGTTATAACAATTAAACTGTATCTGTACGAAGTAACTGAGAAAAATCAGCTGAAAGCCAGTCTTCATCAGGGGGAGTGAAAGGTCGTCAATTTTTCAGTTTTTATACATCCGAATTTATGGACAACCAGTATTTACTAGCCAAAATTTGATGTAGTCCTGTAAAACAAATTTCACACAACTTTCTGGAACTAACTCGCATAAACCGGTGTACACTAGATCTATTGAGATTAGGAGATATAAGAGTAAGATTAAGATTGGTACTAGACTAAGAAGTTGCACGAATCTATCCGGCCGAAATTAGGATAGCGTGACGAGCAGACGATGTACCCTATCCGAAATTACTCTATGAGTTAACCACATCGGTTTTAACTCATCTGGTGCGACCATAAGTCTCGAACAAAACCTTAACTAACTTAGATTAGAAACATTAACCAGCACATTAGATTAGAATTAGACAAATACAACATTTTAAAAATGTTGTATGACGAAAAGTTTAGTAGAAATGTCTCTACGACTCAATAGATCAGAAACAATTTTCAGAACAATACGAGAATTACTCGGTGTTGGAAGAAGACCTCGGACAAGAGACGACGTACGACCAGGAAGAAACCTACCAATCGATTTCAAGATTGTACGACAAAAACCAGATCAAGCTTTTATATTAAGAACACTTGCAGCAGAAAATGTAAATTTTCATTTACTGACATTTACTAACATCTTCAATAACCTTTCATGTCGCTAAACCTAATAATTATTCAATTGCGACCAATAAAAACAACACTAGTCCTTCTCCTTGAAAAATCTGCAGTAATTTAAAAACAATTTTAAAACAATATTTATTGAATATAAAAGTACAAAAATTAGTAAGTATAAAGCATAAATTGTTAGTATATAAAAATCATTGCTTCAACCCAGCTTCATCACCTAAAACATAACAGCAAATCTCAGAAACTAATAAACATCAAAACTAAAAACTTAACAACTTTAACTTAACCTTTTATCGAATTACTATCAAGACTTATCCTTGTTTTCATTTAATTCTTTTGAAGACTACTTTTAAGTCTGGACACAAAAGAAAAAAACACCAAAAAGTTGACTGATCAACCCACAACAAACGAAATGATTTTTGAGAAAAAGACACAACCAAGCAAAAAAGGAAAAAACCAGTAATTAAAAAAGGAACAAAAGGTTGATCTCAAACGGAACCCTCCAAAAAAGAGAGCATGAAATTATACCATCACTCCTGGCCTAACCCACCAGAGAGGACGTCCTGAGCATGCTCTATAGCGGGCCTCACCCAACGTGCTACATCCACGCTTTGTGGACCAACAACTCTATTTTTGACGAGAGTTACTCAAATGTGAGTATCTCTTAAAAATAACCGAAGTAAACAATAACGCTTTCGCGATAAAAACTAATACAAGATCATAACTAAAAACAAAACTAACAAAGACTCGTATATGCAAATAATACATTGCAGTATATAGATAACATACAGCCCAAAGACGAGCAGCAAGAAACTTGACAAGCCAATCACACTCCAGCTACGGAATGGCAAAACACACCCGACATGCTGCCTACAGTCACTACACTCAACGGATTTAAAGTACGACTTGGCATCGCAGCAAAGGACACCCATTGCAACTGAACATTGGCCATCTCGATGTTCAAGTATACGTACAGATCCAAGTCACCAGGCACTGCATCCAAAGTCAAACTACATGCCACTCCCGAACGTGATTGGACCATTGTTATTCTCTAAGATCAACCAGATCTACACTCACCACAACCGATCAGAAATCATAAAACGATCTCTCGAAACAATCGTGATAACAACTCTTCTTCCAAACCAGAAAAAAGAATATGCTCGCAACTTCTAAAGGACAAACACCATCATCCAACCTGCACTACAATAGAACACTGAAAAATTAAAACTCTCTAAGCCCCGGATGGATGGAACCAGATCTAAACTAGAATTTATTATTGGTTATGATTCTGATATTTCATCTCTCTATAAAATATTGAATATTAACCAATCATGATCCATCTAACTAACAACCCACTTATTTGTAAGTGCTGAAATTACTTGTAATTTCAGCACCAGAGAAATTTGAATTTAACTTAGAAATTAGTTGTCTCTCCAAGAGAACTTCAGCAGCCGCAACAAACCAGTATACCCTAGATCTATTGAGCCTAGCAGAGACTAGTTAAACACCCTGAGACTAGAAAGTATAAGAGTAAGATTTGGATCGGTATTAGACTAAGAAGTTGCACGAATCTATCCGGCCGAAAATAAGATATCGTGACGAGCAGACGGTGTACCCTATCCGAAATTACTCTATGAGTTAACCACATCGGTTTTAACTCATCTGGTGCGACTATACGTCTCGAATAAGACCTTAATAGCTTAGAACTAACCAAAAACAGATTTGAATTTAGACAAACATTTTCAAAATGTTATACGATAATAATTTAATCGAAATGTCTCTACGACTCAATAGATCAGAGCCGATATTCCGAACAATAATAGAACTACCCGGAATTGGAAGAAGACTTCGAACAAGAGACGACATACGACAAAGTAGAAACTTAACAAATAGTTTTATGATTGTACGGCAAAAGCCAACACAAACTTTTATATTTAGAATCTGCAAACAAAAAATTTTGAAGTCAACTCCATGATCATTTCAGGCGCTAAAAAAAATTATTAATGTACAATAACGATTGATAAAAAGATCTCAGATCGTTTTCTTAATTTCTGCAGTCTTATATAAAATATATTTGAAAAATATTTATTGAAAATGAAAATAAAAATTAGTAGCATGACAATAAATTGTTAGTAATCATAAATCATCTGTTGTCCCAGCTTCATCACCTAAACATAACAGCAATCATAAGCTCTCTAATATCATTTAAATACAAAATCTTTTTCTTAAATAAATTTAAAACATTTTAAACTTAAATTCACTTAATTTTAAAATCGGATCATCAAGGCTTATCCTTGGATCTTTATTAATTTTCTATTTCACTAAATTTAAAACCTGATCACCAAGGCCTATCCTTGGATCAAAAAGAACAATTTTGTTCTCCCCCACCCACTTAGCAAGTGTCTAACTACCTCAAACGTCGATTCACTATCCAACCCTTCCAAAAGACCCAAGATTAATAGAAATTTTTAAATAAAACTAACCATTCAAACTAAGATAAACAGTGAAGAACTCCGGTTATTCATCCTTCACTTGAACCCTCCTCTTACCAGACCCAGGATAGATCTTAGACTTAGTAAGTTTAAAATAGCATCTAACGAACTACTTGCATTCTAATTATACCTGAACCTTGTGGATCGATTTACTATTCTCCAACCCTTGAACACAATCACTACCCCTTAGTAAGATTAAGTAAGTTAACACCTTAGCTTAGACTAGCCACGAGAAAGTAAAAAATCATTCTTTGGAATCGATATACTTTTCTCTCCAACCCTAAATAAAAAGACCCAGGTTAAGCTAACCAAAAAATCGTAAGGACTAACAGTCTAAGAAAATAAAAATACCTAACAACTTTTTGCATCCCTCATCCTAAACCTTATGTCATTCAAATATCTAGGAAAGAAGCAAACAATCGTTTTACACAACTGTGAGATAGAAAACAATAAATACGATCTTGTAATCACACCTCATACACAAACAGTTGGATACATTAGAACAAAACGACAAACAATAACAAGAAAAATTATAAACAAACAAAGACAAATCACACGAAAAAGATTTTCAAAAAATAGAAACGCATTTTCCGAATCAAAAACCAGCAGTTTAGATGAAATTTACAAATTAAAAGAATCAATTGATAAAAATTGTCCCATTCACGATCAATTATATTTTTCCGATTCAGAAACAACTTCAAATTCATCAAAAAAAGGAAAAATAAGAATAAAAAAGCAATACAAACACAAACCAGTACACCTGTATAACTGGAATCAACCAATTAGACACATTGATAGCTATATATTAACAGTCATCAAACGAAAAAATGAGCCACACTCAAAGTGACGATAGTCCAGAAGACGAAGAGGTTTACCCCTTCCTCATAGATGCACCCGATAATAGAGGGCAGCTTGATTTTTGACGAAGACGAAGAGGTTTACCCCTTCCTCATAGATGCACCCGATAATAGAGGGCAGCTTGATTTTTGCAAGAATTTACTCGTAAATTTGTTTGAACCCGGAATCAGTCCATGCAAAGCAGAATTCCCAGATATAAAAATCAAAAGACAAATTATTGAACATTATTTAAAAGACATATGTAACTTAACACAACAAAATGGAATCTACACCATAGAATTCAGCACACCAAATACGAATCATCGTAAATATGTAATTCAAACAGACGATCTTGAATTAGAATTTTCAAAAGTATTCCTAGAATATATCAAAAGCATACAATATTACAATTCACAAAGAGCAAACTCTATAATCACTAATGATGTTTTTGCAATAATATATACCTATATCTCTATATTAGAAAAAACAGAATTTCAAAGTATCTCACCAACTGAAACATCCAAACATACAAAAGTACGAAATGAAATTGCATTATTTTAAACTTTTCTACATATAATCCAACAAAACTTCACTAAAGATGATGTTTCACAACACACTAAACATGACTTACAAAAAATTTTGGCATGTTTTATAATAAATTATTTCACACATAATTTAGACTTAATTTCACAAGCAAGAAAAAATTTCAGACCTCAAAATTCAAATGATGACACTGCCATTACAGAACAATTAGACTACGTTTGGGACCCTGAATGGTCTCATCCTACATTTATAAATATCCCACGATCTATCTCAAGTCAAGCAATAAGTACAATATCTTATCACAGAGATTATCTAAAAGTAATACCACTAACCATTAATGCAACACCATTAAACTACAATACATTTTTACCTGATACACGAAATAACAGTTTAAATTCGACCTTCATACACAATGAAAACCTTAATCGAACTAGAAATCTTACACAACAAGATATTCAAACACCATCACACTTCGTAAATGAAGAAATTGTCCAAACAACAACAACTACACAACAAAGTATTTCACCAATACACCCAAATTTAACAACACCAAGAAATACCAATACTTCACTGGCACAATTAACCTTACAATCAACCTTTAAACCTTCGGTTGCTCCAAAATATTCACATATGGATTATCAAACATATAGACCAATGACAGTACCGTCAAAAACACGAAAATCATTCACAGGAAACACCTTTGCAGAACATAATTATAATTATGCTCACAAACAAAGAACAAATCAACCTCCCCAAAAAATACAAAAAATATAAATCACGTAAGTTCTCATTATTGGAATCTCCGGAAAACATCGACGAATTCAGTAAATGTTCCAGATAATCCACGACCTACACAGGATTATACTGAAAATTGCCCATTCTTCCAACAAAATAAAAAAATAACCATTATACACCATTTAATACAAACTATTTATCATCCGATGAAGATGATTATCACCAACCAGATATTTTTGCACCATATACTAAAGAATATCGCACACAAAGACCACGACAACCTCAACCATCTCGAAATATGAAAATTTACCCACAAAACCCAACAGATGTACAACATCCACAACAAATGCATATACAAAACCCATTTAACACACAATCTTTTCAACCAATACAACCACAAAATCCAATGTCAATGCATTCTTATCAACCAACTCAAATGCAAAATGAAAAACCGCTTCCATATTACCTTCAGCAACACGAAATAACAAAAAATCAACTTTCAAATTTCTCGCAAATGCCAAAAGCCGCAGAATCACTACAGATGACAATGAATCCATACCTCATGGGTGGATCATCAATAACGTCCAATAAACCACTGATGGTATTTACAGGAACAGATCCTGAATATTCTGTAGAAGATTATTTAAATGCAGTAACAGCAAATTTAATTTTAAATATGGGACCTGAACCAATTAATACGCCACTACATCAAAATTGGATACATAGACGCACAGCATTGATACAAACAACCTTAGATGGCGCAGCTCAAAAATGGTTTTCAGTATTACCTATAGAAATAAAATCAGACTGGAAAAGATTTACACAAGAATTTTCAAAGATGTTTGACTCCGAAAGAAATAAACAACACCAAAGAGTTTTATGTAATGAAATTCGCAGATTACCAAATGAAACCATCGAACAATTAGCAGTACGCATCGAAACACTAGTTCGAAAAGCATATTCACTTAATACACATGACTATAAAGCTCAAAAATGACAGAAATTTTAATGATGACCTTAACACCTCAATTAAGGAAAATAGCAATAAAAAAGAGAGCATCTCATCCTTCCTCAATTCAAGAGCCAGATTTAGATTTTCGAAAACTAGTAGATAAACTAGAGCAAGCGGAAATCGCAATGAAACTTGAAGAAACAGAAAATCTAAAACTACAGTATGTTAATCGAATTGAAACAAACACCACACAAATAAATAACATACAGGAATGAGATACAGACCTAATTGAAAAAATCACTGAAATACTAAATATCTATGAAAAACTTCCAAATTTTAAAGGCAAACTATCCTTCAAAAAATGGTGTAATTATTGCCGACGTACGGACACAGTATTTCCGAATGTAGACAAAAACAACAATTTAATCAGAATAAACCTCAAAAGCATAAAGAATCAAATAAATCGTTCTATCAATATATGAAAAAAAGATC